AGTTTTCTTATCCAATCTTGAATATCACTTTATATTTTTGTAAGTTCCACTATTTTTTTTAATTTCACAAGTCCCTTTAATATTTCATGTTGTACTTTCAAAGTTCACCATCCATTTTTTAAGGTCTCCTATGTGTTGGTCGGTTCTATGTTACAATCTAAGAAAAAATCACCATGCCTTCTTTTCAAAAATTCTTCATGAGATGTTTGTAGCTTTTATTCTCCTTGTTAATTCTATGTATGTCTCATGATGAAAAGTTAGCTCTTATCTCATGTTTAAATATCCAATATCGCATCCTGTTAGTGGAATTTAATGAACATATCCTGCTGGTAATACATGACAAGGTATTTCTGTTACAAGATGATCCTACTCTTCCTTTCCCAATGTCAAAGATCATTCAGATTCTTCCATCTGAGAGATGATTCTTCTTTAACTTAATGGTGGCAAGATTTACCGTTATGTTATATTCTGTGGAATTTCCTTATACTAAACTATTTGTTATGCTTATTAAAGTCATTCAATAAATTTTCCTAAATTCATGCGATCATCAAAATCTGGCAAGTCCATCTTCACTCCAAAATTTTGGCTTCTTCTATGATATTCTCTGCCTAATCATTGATATAATTGTTCTTCGCCACTTGAACTACTTGATGGAAGGGATTCACTTTCTCATCTTGATCCGATGAGTCACTCTTGTTGTTATGGGTGATCTCACAAAATTGTCTCATGTCCAAGATGGCAAGTCTCTGCTATATTTGGAGAATTTTTCGTTGCATAACCTCCATAGTAAGCTCCTAAACACCTATTTATGGATTTCTTCAAGGTGGCATTGTGTTCATTTCTCTGGATCAAGGTTTCAACTGGTGTAGGGTTGTAGCTAAGAGGGTTGTTGAAGTTATTTTTGTGATAAGTGTCGGGTGATTTCTCATAAAGTTAGAAAGGACAAATTTTAATATGTTATGGCTAGGTTAGGAATTACAATAGGAATGATTTAGGTATGGTAATTTTAAAAAAATTTTGATTGGGCCTAGAAAACAAATCACTAAAAATTTTGGGTCTGCAAAGCTCTAATACAAAATGATACTATTCTAGAGCCTCTAGAAGGTATTTGGGAAGGGATTTAACAGAGAGGTAGTTGTGGAATTGCAAAAGAAAGGTAACATATGAGTTTGACTATGTTTAGAAGGGATTAAGGGGGTAAAGCTACTTTTAGATAGTAAGTTAGACATCATCGACGATTCAACCAGCAAACATTAAGAAATATTTTGAATCAATGATATTTGGGAGACGAGGAGGTTCCACCCCTACTTTCTACATTGATACAGATAGACCACTTACAAGAGGAAGAAGGATATAACACTCCAAAGAGCATAACACAAAGAAAAGTCTCTCAAATTCATAAAATCAACAAAACTCAAAATTCAAAACCCAAATGCAGCATATATAAATTTTCTTAATAGAAAATAACCTAATTTGGAAATAGCAAAATAAAGAAATAAAAAAAAAGGTAATATGAGATAAGAGCCCTTGGGACCTGTGGGAGCAAAAAAAAAAAGGAATGTTTTCCTACTAAAGTCACAAACGGGGCGAAAATATCGTGGTTTTCTCAACCCATGATTATGATGTGTCTGATTCTGCTGAACAAAAATTCTCATTGTCTCTCTTGTGATATCACCAAAATCCCCTACCATGACAAGATCCAATCTCGTGATCATAGGAATGCACAAATTTCATGTTTGGGTTTGGTTGGGATGTCCCACTTCACTAATTTTAGCATACAATTGAGAATCATGGCTAATGATTTGAAATCAAAATCCTGGGCCTAAAGTATTTTCTTAACACAAAAATAATTAGATTTGAACAAACAAATTTCACCTTTTAACGAAAGTACATTTTGAATCTCCGTTAAAAAAATTGAAATAACTACTTGCAAGTCATTGACAAAGAAAGATATCAATGTCCCATTAGAAAATTTCTTTTTCTCATATACTACATGACATCTGCTTTCAATTAATATTGTAAATCAATACATGAATGATCACATAAAGGAATACCTTGGTTTCGTATATATAGGATAACATATCTTAAAATGTCACAAAAAGCTATATCCTTCAAGAAATTAGCAAATAGGAAAATTAAAATATTTACTAGTTTTGAATGAGCAAAGTTTATAACTGATGGTAAATTCAATTTTGGATATCGCTCAACTGTATGGAAAGATTTAGTCACTTGTAGAGCTAAAATGTAGGCAATTGTTATCTGGAGCATTGAAGAAGCATTATTCAATCTAATGGCCCAAGAAATTTATAAGGAAAAATGGCTCTAAAATTAAAAATCTTTATTAAAAACCAATGATAATGATGCGTATCAAATAGACTATTATAAAAATAAAAATTAAATATAATAAAAAATATGTTAACAGTACCGCTAAGCATATGGCCCATCTTGATAAGAATAAATTGAACAAAAATTATTAAGGTGGCCTTCACTCCTAATAAATCCTAAGGTTTTAGTTGTGATCAAATTTATTTTTTAATTTACATTTTCATTTTCTCTTTGATTTTTAAAAACTTATTTTTTTAAGCGATGTTTGGTTACAACCTGCTTTTGAGTTAAATAGTGTTTATCAGATTCAATAAATCCGAATTCATCAAAGCTTGTGCGATGAAGATGGAGTTCGCGAGCGACGACAGAGTAAATCCCTTAAATCCACCCACAATCGGATTCAGTAAATCCGAATTTGCATCGTAAAAGATACGGAACATGAGAAATAGAGTTGAAATGTGAGAAAGTTTGATTTAACCAAAGTGTTGATTTATTTTTTGTAAAGTGTTGATTTATTTTTTGTTTTTTTTTTTTTTGACTGAATTTACCTTAAATTCATGTCAAAATTTTATAAAAATTATGCCGCCAAACACTCCCCTTAGTGTGATTTTTACCTAATTTTGTTTCTAAAAGTAAATTAACATATTTTTTAGAACACTAAAAATAATTTTGAGACATTTTGAGTGTTTTAAAAAATAATTATATCTTATTCAAATATGTCAAACATTCAAATGAAAATATAAATTAAATAAAATTTTTTAATATAAAATATAAATCAAAAATGATCCCAAAAAACCTCTTAAATTAATAACATTCTTGCTAGAGCCCTTTACTTGAGGTCCTTAAGCGGAGTGAAACTCATATAGCTAATGCTGGAAATCAACATCCAAATAACTCGGAAAACCAAGGAAGCGAACTACTTTCCACGTCAGGGATGAAACTCAAGCAATGTCTTATGGTCAGATTTCTCATATTTCAGGGTTCCATCTTTCAGCGCCTGGTGGATGAGATGAGTTCTTTCTTCGGCACGAAAAGGTTTCGTGTTCGGAACTCCCCACTCTCAAAATAAATAATAAAAAATCTTATGATATGATGGTATTGGATGATACTGAGATATCGCCGCACATAATATTCACTCTAAGGAAAGATTGCAACTTCTATCACGCAAGATTTCTTTTTATTTTTGCTTATAGTTACCGATGGATACATCTGAAAAATTCGGTCTCAATTCAAAAGGAAATCATATTTCTCGGCCACTACACATTCCAAGCAAAAGAAAAAAAAAAATTTGGTTGGCTCTTTACTGTTTTTTCCCTAATTTATTTGTTTGCATACCTTGTCCTAAAATTGATATTTATATTCCCTATAAATCATTGGTGATTTTTGCGGACGATGACATGAATCCAATCATGTAGGATGTTCAGACATAATATTTTTTTCAATTTCACATGAAAAATTTTGTGATTTAGGGCTTGATTTCTGGGAGCTTGGGTGAAAATTTATCTTGTGTTGGTACTCTGCTTACCGGGCAAAACGTGCAAATATTAATATTTATGATAATTTTACAGGAAAGCGTCTGAGGAAATTTTTTGAGAGTTGAAGAAATTATTTAGGGATTCCGTCGATAATAAGAATGAAAAATCTTCAGCTGAAGATGACCGCCAACAGAATTTTGATTTTGAAGGGAAAAAAAATCATTAGTGTTCCTCCGCTTCAAAAATCGTGTTGTAAAACTTTCATCAACTTTAAAAGACCAAGAGAGAATCCTCTAGCTTATGCAAAGTTTGTTGTGAGCTTAGTTGTGCTCTTTCTGTAATCCCTGCCTAAGTTTATGCGTGTACTATTTTACATTCGTAAATAACAGCATATTGATGTTTTCAATTAAACCGGACATTTTTTGATATCAGTTGTATTATCGAGCTATGGAAAATCAAATTTTTTCTACTTGTTGAAATTAAAATATTTTTCTTTTTGTCCTGTGCAGACTGCAGAAAATGATGCCAGCAATGCTTTTCCAGGGCATAAGATGAAGAAATGTTTCAGAGCTGAAGAAAATCAGAAATCATTCACGCCCAATGAAAGCACGCGTTGGTTATTAAAACTTTTTTAAAATTAATGTTTTTTTCTAATTTATGACCATGAAACAAATTCAAATTATTAAGTTTATACATAACTGACGATAATTTTGTTGAACAATAATATATTTTGTTAATGACTTATTTTTAATTTAAAAATATTTTAAACCTCTGATGTGATCTATAGTCTTCAAAAAAATAATTAAAAACTAATTTATGCCCTCGCTCAAGCAAATTCTTTAGCTCCGCCATCGCTATTTCTTTTTTTTTATGATATTTTATTTATATTTTAATTTTAAACAAAACATTTTTGACATTTAATTAAGCTGTATATTTTTAAAACGCTTTAAACATCTAAAAATTATTTTTAATATTTTCAACATGAATGTTCAAACCCCGGCTCATTAGAATGCTTCATTTTGTTCCCAATTAATATCCCATACATACTTCGAGCACATAAATTAAAACTGAAGTAATGTAGCCTCAGTGCCACTGTTCGAAAGAACCATACACTCAAAACAGGAAAAAGCACATTTGGCAGAATAATACCAATAAAAAAGGGGGAGTAACAAAATTTTACAGAAATCAATAGAAAAGTTATCAGAATAAATAAGTAACAACTCCTAAGAAGCCGAGAACCGCCAACTACACTCTAATCAAACTATCTCTCGCAAACGCAAAGCTTGAAAATATTACCAATCAAAGAAGCCTGGCCCAGCCTTTGATATCAATTCCTTTCCAGCATCTTTACCCATTGCAACCATGTCATCAAGAGCATAAGGTCCTTTCCTTGAAGTCTCCAGAACTATTTGAAAAACAGAATATAGTGTTGCAAGCCAAAATTTAAGCAAAAAAATCAATCGAAATTATAGATTTGCTATAGGCCAAGGGCTCTTTTTGATGCTTCTAATTACAAACTTTGGGCTTATTTGGGGCCAATTCTATAATTTCTTTTTGTTTTTGTTTTTGCTTTTATTTTAAATTAGTATTTTTTTGCATGTGTTTATTTTTTTTTAAAACAAACAATTTGTTTTTAAAAACAGTTGTTTCAAGTTTTTTTTTCTTTAAATAAAAAAACATAAACCGAAAGTAATCCAAACGGCCCCTTGGGTTTGGAAAAAAAAAATGAATTTTAAATTAAATTGATCAGTGGGATGTAATGAAAACTCAAATTAGATTTTAACTAAACAAATAACTTGAAATTCCTCTAGTGAAAAGAAGAAATACTTTTTTAAAACAAAATTTCCAACAGCATACATCCAAATGAGCCATAATGGCATTTACCTCGAGTTCCATCAGGAGAAGCTACTAAACCTCTGAAAAAACAGTTTCCATCTTCATCCCTGTGCGCATAGCCTGCAATTGGAGTTCGACAGGAGCCATCTAAGGTCTCTAGAAATGCCCTCTCACAAACAACGGCCAGTCTGGTTTCTTCATCATTTAGGCTACGTAGATAATTAGCCTGTCACATAAGAGAAATAGCATGTGTAGTTAATACTAAGAATGCCTAATTATCACCATCATGATCATCCTTATACAAATTATTTGAGGTCACTAAACACTAATTTCTAATAATTATAATCACGTTCCTTCAACCTCTACGTAGACAAATTATATGAGGTCACTAACCACTAATTTCTGGTAATTACAATTAAATTCGTTCAGCATCTACACAGACACTCATACATATATGTGTGTGTTTGTGTTTGACGTTAACAGTATGAATCCTCAATTTTGCATTGAGTATCGTTTTACGTGTTAAATCCATTCTTTTTGCAAATCATTTTAAACCTCTATCCATATAAACCGTAAGTCTACCAATTTCTTTCTTCCTAATCTAACAAGCACACTTTAATGTAAATGTCAAAATCAAACATAGTTATCTTCAATAGATGTCATTAAATATTTTCTCATATTTAGCATTCGTTTATTTATCCTTCATAATTTTGTTACATGTCCAACTTTGCATTCTCATTTCTGTCAAATTCAACTTAGATGTAAATGACTTTTTATGGTTTGGCCTAATCGATATTTTATAGTATTTATGTTCGTGTTTAAGCATACATGTATTCTTTTCTCATAAAAATTTTCTAAAACGTCCATGTTAACTATGAGGTCTTTACAATTTAAATTATCCTACATATTTTTGTTATTCAATAGATCCAAGATACACTCTTATCACAACTAGCTGGATTAGAAGTCTATTAGTACAACAATTTTATGTTTCGTAACTACTGAAAAATATTTGCAGGAAAGGTTTGCAGCTTTCTGAATGGCAAAACTTTTCAAAATGGCCTTTATTTAAAGCATCAACTCTTCGACCTATTTATGAAGTTATATCTTTTAATGAGCATTTAAATGCTTATAATAAGCTAAAAATGGATTTGGCTAATATTAATAAAAGGAAAATAAAGGCTTGATTTTGTTGTGCTCTTTCATTCTCTTATGAGAAATTGAGAATAATGTTAATACATTGTAGATGAAAGAGAAATTATTTCAATTACTAAGGTGAAAAGCTCCTTATAGTTCAGTGATATAACGAAGGAAATTTTTGGTGAGAACCAGTAAAAATATGAAAAAAGTTGGATAGATCAAAGTCAAAGCCTAAGAAAGAGGACCAATGAAACATTTGCAGGAAACATATACATTACGCATCTAAATACAGACTTAAAACTAAAAAAATAGAAAAAAAGAGATAATTTGAAAAGCAATTCTAGCTTTAAGAAAATATAAATGAAAGACAATTCTAGCTAAAAGAAAATATAAATAACAAAAGAGCACACGTGTGAATATGAAATGGTATTGACAACTGTTGATCATTATTTATTTAACTAAGATTGGATTAATGAGTAAAGTTGTTCATATTACATGACGCTGCATAAAGATTGACTCTCTTCTTTAAGATGCATTATCTATAGAATGTCTTAATAGGAAATGACAACACATGAAATTGTTGGTAAAGGCTTATTTCATACCAAAACACATGATAGATCCATAAGAGCTTCTGGCGAGGTAGGATAAGTGTCAACACTGAAAAAGAATATTATAGCCTCGGCATTATTGAACTACTATTGCTAATGGCATTATTGAACTACTATTGCTAATGGCATTATTATATGTTTCTAAAGATTTCATGATTTAAACAATGCAAAGAAGCTCAGTAATATCTACTGCTTTCAGGACAGTAAAGTGGCAGATGTAACATTAGTTTCTTCCTCAAATGATTAAACTAAATTAGGAATGATTCTTACCATTATCTGAACATTGTGCCTTCTAAAACATCAAATATGAAAGTCCTCAATCGAAGTTCATTGGACCAACAGTATTGTGGACTAGTTTCCTCATTGTATTATTTGAAGCAGTTCTAAAATATGTATATAAATTGCAAATATTTATACTCCATCTATTGATAATAGATTCATGCCTCATGGAGTCCTGTCAGTATTTGTTGAGTCAAAATATTTTGGGAGAAGTGTAGCTTGATCCTACCTATTATGTGCCAAAAGAGAGTAGTTTGAGCTTTCTTCCATGATAGGGAGCTATAAGTAATGCAATATATATAAGTGTTTTGGTCATGGTTATCATAATTTTGGAAGGACAATCACTAATATTAATAGCATGATGCTTAAAAGGCCCAAATGAGGCCTCCAAGACCCAAATGAGACTGACAATAAAACTCTGATCTCTAGTAAAATTTTAAGGCTTTCAAATTTTGGTGGTCCTTAAGTTAAATTCACGAACATACATGCAAAGTAGTCAACCTTAGAAAACTATTAGTAATTTACCCTTGAAAGAACCACCAATAAAGACCAAACAAGTGATATCTGATGGCTATTTCTCAAGACAAGAACAATGACAAAAGTTTCGTCCATATCATCGTATAATCAAATTTTTCACTAGACCTATTACAGAATAAACATGCAATTCTATGCAAAACAATAGCTCGTATCCGGTAGAGAATTTTGACTTACAAATTGGTTACATAATGCCAAATTTATAGAAAACATGGAAACAACGTTTTTCTTGCAGTACCTCGTATGCATTTGAAGTTCTGTATCCAATTTATCATGAATCAATACTAATAATTAGTAATCAAAGAAAGGACTACTAAAATACATTTATTTTACTTTCAAACATAGCTGATAGATAATCCACTTAAAACGGTAACCAACTTATGTGGAATAAAATCACATGAAATAACTAATTATAACTTCCAAATTGACTTGAATTTAATGTGAAATATTCAGCAAAAATGCAGAGTCAGCAGAACCTACTTTGAATAGTTATTCATAATTATCAGTTTAATTGAAAGAGGTATTAGTTTTCTAGACTGTACCATCCTATCATCATTGCTTCTACAAGCGATCCCAATGGCGCCTTGAGCAATTGCTGGGAGCATTTCTTCTATAGACAGTATTGCCGTAACATTCTCCGTCATATTTAATCGTTTGAGCCCTGCCAATGCCAATAATGTTGCTTGAACCTTCCCTTCCTCAAGTTTCCTCAACCTTGTTTGTACATTGCCACGGAAGTTTACAACCTGAATAACACTAAACACATTTCATATAGATGCAATTCCTGCAGCAATAATAAACAAGTAAAAACTAGAAAAAAAAATTAGTGCCACCTAGAAATATACAATAAGTACATAAATGGGAAAATGAGAGATTTAACATCATGGATGTAGTAGATAATTCAATAGGATCTAGATTTCCTGTGATTATCGAAACTGTACAGTAACTGAAGATGTATAAGGCGGACAAAAGAGTTTAAGTTTATCAATGTGGTAATTTACCTGTAGTTCCCACAGGCTTTAACAAGTTAGAACAAAAAATCAATAGAAGAGGTTGTCAATTCATCTACTTGTCATGTAAACAGTTAATGGAAAGGGTACATCCGCTGAGGAAGGTTATTACCTGCATTCTAAAGAAAATCATAATCTATATTCCTTTTTCCCCCAAAAAACGTAGTTTAAAAGACTGATAGACTAGAGAAATGATGAATACAGGCATGGAGATGGTTCATAATATGAATTTAAAGGGCACTTGCTGATTTTCAGTAATGTGACTAGTCTTAACAATGCGTTCTAACAAGTGAAGAAATCAACCTATCAATAATGGAAAAGGTATATCCGCTGAGGAAGGTTATTACCTGCATTCTAAAGAAAATCATAATCTATAATTCCTTTCTCCCCCAAAAAACGTAGTTTAAAAGACTGATAGACTAGAGAAATGATGAATACAGGCATGGAGATGGTTCATAATATGAATTTAAAGGGCACTTGCTGATTTTCAGTAATGTGACTAGTCTTAACAATGCGTTCTAACAAGTGAAGAAATCAACCTATCAAATAATCAGAATAATTGAAACATGTTTGCACATATTAGTAAATTTTTTTGCCAAAAGATCATAAGAATTCTAAGGAAATTGTTAATCATTAAAAAGTTCAAAATGAGAAATATAAAAATATTTTGACGAATCTCATGCAGAAAAAATACATATTTCTGAAGCCAACATTCCTAGTCTCACGTCATAATCACAAAAGCTGAAGAAGACACAAGGCAGACTACAATTGTACACACCAAAAAGAGGCATGTATTGATTTTGTGACTCTATAAAACTCACCTAAATTAAAAACAAAAATAAACCAACTCCAATTTCAAGTTGGCGTGTTCCCATACCCTAACTCGAAAGGAATTTTCCTATTCCACCACCAATGCATGAACTTTGACATAATATTTTACAGTTACCAGCCAAACTAACAGCAACTCCCAACCCTTTCCTTTTTCCTCCCAAATAGAACTTCCTCTTTAAAGTTTAAAAAGCTATGCCTGTTCTCTAAAAAAAAACCGTCAGCATGTGCACACTGGATTTCTCTGTTAAAACCAAAAATTGTTGTCATTCGAGCTTGGCTAAATATTTAATAACATCGGAACAAATCAGCTAAAGCTCGCCAACTTTCATCCAAACCCCATCACACAAACTAGATTGTGTAATTTACCAAGAATTACTACCACTTTTAAAGCATCGAAGTTAATGTCTATGGTATTCATAAACCAATAATATTACATATTTTCTTAACATAACTATATAAGAGAAATGCAAATCCTCCAAGATTAAATTTCAACAGGACATTTGGGCTATTTTCCGCCTGCAATTATAATGGACTCAATCAATGGTTAACTACGAACTTCCATAGTGTCCATTTGCATTATGGAGCCAGTAATCTGCATTCAAAAAATTGATTTTGAAAAGTACTTCATCCGTTTTCTAGAAAAAAGTATGTGACATTCATCTGATAGTACCAACCTTAGCATTCACCAGCGGACATTATACTAAATGAATGGTATGATATTTGAGGTGCTATTATCAAAGTAACGGGGATGGATGTTCGCAAGAAAAAGTAGCATATGCTAGATATGATTGGATATCCAGAAGGCCATAGTTGGCAAAATAATAGTGCAACTTATTAGTTTTAGCAAAGTTGTATGAGAGGTGCAAGATTTATAATTTTGCTATTCATTGTGTGGAATAAGCAAGATTTGGTTCTCCGGAAAATATAATATGGATATATACGGTTATTAAAAATTATTTGCCCTGTTCAGCAGTTATTCATATTTTTCAAAAAGACTGGCACGGATTGATGGAAGGTCAAACAAAGGCACCAGTCGCAAGTTTAACTCATGGCACATATAGTTATAAAGACCAAACAAAATGGAGGAAAACATTGCCACTGCTAGCATCTATCCATCTATTGGCACAAATAGCAACATTTCAAAAAATTTGTTGTAAATAATACACATTGTAAATTTCAAACATCAAGTGCAGGACTTACTTTGAGGTTAGGATATCTGTAGAGTATTTGAGATTGTCTCCGTAGAGAAGCACTTCCAACAACACTTTCAGGTTGAAGTTCTGCAAGTGATTTTGCAATCAAAGATATGAATGCATCCCTTACATCTTCTCGAGGAAGATTGCAAGGCAATATTGTCCCATCAGGGAGATATGTTGGAACATCCTTCATCGAATGAACAGCAATGTCAATTTTACCCTCCAAGAGTGCCTCATCTATCTCTTTTGTGAATAAGCCTTTGCCACCTATGTCAGCTAGTGGTTGATTGAGGATTTTATCTCCTGTGGTTTTAATTGTTACTATTTCTATAGCTCCTTCTTCAGCTAGCTCAGAGTGTGTTGCCATAAGTTTGTCTCGTGTCTCAAAAGCCTGGGCAAGAGCTAATGGACTGTCCTAAACATAAATCAGAAAGAAACAACTCAAGCCAGCACAAGAAAATCAATTTATTAATAAAAATTCCAAAAACAAAGTGAATAGAAAATGAACAACTGATTACATTACGTCATGAAAATTAGTTTAGCATAATTTGAAGTTAAGATGACTACAATGGGAACACAGGAGTAGCTTTATAGAGAATATGCATGTTTGTCTAAATGCATGAACTGAGATGTTTTTTCAGAGCTTGCATTAAATTCATATTTCCATTAGACACATTAGCACCTTCTCTTTGAAAATTCAAAGTGAAAAGTTAGTAAACCTAAATTAAAACATAAGTCTTATTTAAATGAATTTTTGGGTCATTAAACAAAGTATTGCGCTAAAAGAAAATTAGTAATTCCACGGTTGCATGCAATATCAATTTTCCCAAATACCGAGTAGTCGATCAACAAGGAATATTTTCTGATAAATAGCTATTTTTGAATGCAATGTCATGAATATTAGTAGCGCTCAATAGGAAAGGATGGACAATCAGGATTCAGAAAATAGACTCCAATTAATTGGGCAACTGATTGGGATAAGATTAATAATAATAGCCATGTAAACCTTAGTCTTTGATATTAGCCTTGCCACCAAAGTTTCAGAGAGCTTCAGGTAGGTAATTAAATCGTGTAATCCAAACTTGGGTTAGCTTCCTATATTAAAAGAGATATTCTCGTTAAATTCATAGGGTGTGATGGCTACTTTCTAGAGAAGGAGATGGCTTCTATGCCAAAAGGAGGTGTATGAGTAGTTGGTGGAATCCAAAATGAAGTGGATGCTTAGACATACATGTAAGTCGGTTTCATTGTGAACCACATAAGAATCCATATTTTCATTGCTCTTAATTTATATTTTGTCTATTTACTTAAATTGCATTGTTAAACATTTAAGTGATGACCTTTTGCAATTCATTTATATGTTATCATTCAATGACATACTTTTAGTTTATTACTCATACATTTTGCATATATCTTTACATTGCCATTATATAAAATGCACTTAAACTCAATAACTTGATACCAGAGTTAAACCAAACAATTATAGAAAACAAATATTATTATTGAAAGCAAATATGTGATTACAACCACACACACTTGAAAAAAAAATACAACAACAAGCACAAGCAGACATTGCTAAATGTATCCAAAGTGGTGGTCGATTTGGTGAGTGGATGGCAGGAGGATAATGATGAGGCAGTGGATGGTTGTAAGAGGCGGAAGGGGAAGTTATAGCGGGCTGCGGTGGGGAAAGAAGGAGGTTGGTCAGTCAAAAGACCGCAAACAGGCGCTTATTGAAGGTCTGGAACAGCAGAAAAACAGCAGGGAACAGTTGTTCAAGGTGGTGGCAGTGAGCAGAAATGATGGCGGCTGCGGCGGGGAATGTGAGGGACTGTAGTACAACAAGAGGGCTGTCCCGTGGCTGCGATAGCGAGGGGGATGGATGGACAGCAAAGACAGGCAGATGGAATGAGTGTCAGCAAAGTGAGAGGTGGCTAGAAGGGATGCAATAGGTGGAGGAGGTAGTGGTTGGCGGCCGGAGTTGCAGAAAGGCAGAAAGAATGTTGTCCGGTGGTTCCGACAGCAAGGAAAGGCGGAGGCGGAGGCGGAGGCGGAGGCGGAGGCGGAGGAGAGAGGATTGTTGCAAAGGATGGGAATTCAAGCATAAATACTACCTCAGCAACGAGCAACGAGCAACAACCAAAGCACCACCCGCCTTTAAATACAACCCTAGAAAAGAAAATTGGGATGTCGACGGCTGCCCTGAACAGAAACATGATAAAAACTGCAATTTAAACCCTAATACAGTACATATAGGAAAGGACTAGAAATAAAGGATAAAAAGAAATGTGCTAAAAATTAGTAAGGAATCAAAAGAGGAGTTGTTCGGTTCAGCTCGCATGACCTGGATGTTGCGTCTAATCGTCAGTTACAAGAAATTCCCACGTCAATCTCTAGGGGTTAGTGGAGCTTCAACCTAATTCATCGTAGCTTATGTCTACACATTGAGGGTGGAGCTATTGTAACTTCCCAAGGCTAACGATTCTTCGATTGCGCCCCTAGAAGCACTTGAATCTCACTGCATGTTACACTGTCTCCCAAAACACGTGACAAGTTTTTCCCAATTATGAACAACCATCCATGTTGGTCCAACCTTCTTGGGCACACTATAGAACGCTCGTCGGTGACCTCTCCATGGGTCATCTCCTCAATTTCATCAAATTGTTGTAGCACTCGACGATGCTTTCACCGTAACTCTTCCATGGTAAACTCCTGAGCAGGTTGTGGCAATTTCCTTGACGGCGACATGATTAGCGTTTGGGGTGGTAGGTAGGAGGAGCTATGTAGGGGTGATGCAAAGTGGGAAAGAAAATTTTTAAAGGAAAGTAGGGTTGAGTAGTGGTTGATGTTAAGAGCCATAGGATAAAACTGAGGTTAGACTAGCTCTAATACAAAATGATATTAGAGTTAACATAAACAACAATGAAAAAAATAAATATTATTGCCGAAAGTAAATACGCGATTACAGCCACACACATTTGAAAAATACAACAACAAACACAGCTAAATTTATCCAAAGGTGGTGGTCGATTTGGTAAGTGGACACCAGGAGGATGGTGACAAAGCAGTGGATGACTGTAGTAGGCAGAAGGGAAAGTTATGGTGGGTTGCGGTAAGGAAAGGTGGAGGCTAGTCAGCTAAACGACAACAAGCAATGGCTGGCTAGAGGGTTGGAACAGTAGCAAATAGTAAGGAATAACCATTCGAGGTGGTAGCAGCAAGCGGGAATGACAGCAACAGTGGAGGAAAATGTGTGGGACTACGGGACAACAAAGGGACGGTTGTCTCGGGGCTGAGGCGGAAGGGGGGGCTGGGGGCGGGGGGGGAAGGGGGGGGGGGGTTGAAGGTAAGAAGTGGCTTGAAGGGATGGCAGCAAGGTGAGAGGTGGCAACAAGGTGGTTGGTGGCTGGAGTTGCAGGAAGATAGTAGGAGTACGGTCTGGTGGTTCTGGTGGCGAGGAAAGGTGGGACCAACATCGAGGGGATGGGAAGTCTGGGTAAATATTCCATCGGGAACGAGCTACAGCTAGAGCACCACTCAACTCTTTAAAGAAGATCACAACCTTAGATGAGCTATAGTCGGAGCACCACCCGCCTTGGTATACAGCCCTAGAAGATAGAAATCGGAACACCAACGGCTCTCCTGAACAGAGATATGACAAAAAAATGCAATCCAAACCCTAATACAGCACATATAGGAAATGACTAGAAAGAAAGGAAGGATAAAGGGAAATGTGCTAAAAATTGAAAAAAAATCAAAAGAGGAGACGCTAGATTCGATTTGCGCGACCCAAATGTTGTGTCTGATCGTTGATTGCGGGAAATCGCACGTGTGGGAATGCAACCCACGTGCTCTTGGGTGTTGAACGCCTAGCATCAAAACTTTTCAAGGAATAGCTTTGCAATCATTTGAGGACACTGAAAAACTAAGATGTTTCTCACCATTAACGTCTTGTTTGCAATCGTATCCATCCAATTATCATTCGACTCAATACATCATTCATTGTTGTTGTGGTTAGTCAATATATGCAAAACTCAAAGAAAAAAAATGGTATGTTGTCCTATGAATCCTTAGATATATAAAAAAAATTATCCAAGAAAACATATAATCTATCAAAAACAAAACCATCTAATGATAAAAAAAAAATTTCTGACACCTATTGTATGTGGTATCTATTGAGGATAGAAAAGCTACTTCTGGGTATTGTGTCTTTCTTGCTGTAAATTTAGTGTCCTATAAATTTAAAAAAGCATATTGTTTTAGCTAGGTCTATTGATAAAGCTAAAAATAGGATCATAAATAATTTTGCAATCATATATTTTATAGGGAATCAAGCACATTGAAGTAGAATGGCATTTTATCGAGCATGCAGTACTCCTAAAAAAAAAATCACAACAGACTCCAATAAAGAACAATCAGTTGATATATCCACCAATTTTTTGGAGCCTCTACTTTGTTTTTCAATTTATGCAGTAAGCTTAAACTCTATATTCTATAATATATATGCTCTAACTTAAAGGGGAGTGTTATTAGTGAAATTTTCTAGATCAGAAAGCGTTATATTAGAAGAATACCAAAATAGGAAAATATCTTTCTATATCCTTGAAACTCAGGGTACCTTCCTCCTTATTATTTTCCCTTTTTGAATTCATCATGTATGCCTATACATAGGACCCTATAATCAATCACTAATATAAAAAAAAAATTCTTCTAACAAAACCAAACAAAAACCTAAGTCAAACACACAATGGAAAGCTACATAAATAAGGACAATTACCATACAAGAGAACTGAGGGCACTAAAAGCAATCAAATTTATGAGACCGACATGATGAAATGGAGATAATGAACCTGAAAACTACAGCCACAAGGCATGAACAAACTAAAGCTGTAAAGATTCAAGCAGACATCAAATTGGGCAAGAAGAAGAAGGAACATATTGACCTTTCGAACTGCCCAAAGACATTTAACAAGCACAGGTAAGGCTCATTCCTGATGTAGAGTCCCTACTATAAATACCAGTACAACAGATCATAAGACTCACAATATTGAATTTTTTTTTTATTCTATGGTTCAAACCACGGTCTTGTGACTGAAGACGGTGGGCAATGCAACTTGAGCTGTTGCATGTTGGGCTAACGACAAATGAGCTTCACAAGAGAGAACAATAGATGAATTGGCAAATCTTACCTCCCCCTGGTGCCGATTCTCACAAGGGAGACTTTTGCTTCAACCTCCTGCTCAGTGGCAAGGGCATTTCTGACGGCCGTAGCATTCCTCCGGCGAGGTCGGATCGACTGCGACCTCAAAGACAGAGCCGGGCGAGAAAGTGTAGAGTGGGAACAAGCGGCGAGAAGAGGGCTCCGGGTAGCGACGGTGATATCCATGCCTCCTGCACCGGAGACGTGGATTGACTGGGGGTGTTGATGGGGGATGGATCGTAGATCTAACAACAGATAATGTGATTTTCTTTTTTTCTTTTTTTTCTTCTCTTGGTTTATTTAAATTTTTTAGGAATTTTCATGTTTACAATTATAGTTATTACTTTTACTTTTATTTTTTTATTTATTATGTTTACTATCAATGTTCAATTGCAGATGTTGAAACTAAACGAATTTTCTTTCAAGTACAATTGGCGTTATTTATTTAAACAAATTTTAATGATTGATTTAGTTTTTGCATTTTTAATGAAGAGGTATGGTGATTGATTGTATTTTTTTAGATTTTTTTTTTATTACAAATATTTAGTACAATGTTTCAATGTTATTATATGCCCAAAAAGCAGTCATAAGCCGAGTTCAAGATAGTAGCCTTGTTTTGATAAGTTTAAGTTGTTCAAAGCATTTTTAATAAACAAGCATTACCCTAAGGTTAAGCAAAGTCACTCTAGAATTTAACGATTTTTCGAATGCAGGCCAAGTCTTTAATGTTATTCACCGCAACTATGCACTTGAATTTGGCCAACCTTGGTAAACTCATCCAACTTTAGCAAAGTTGACTTATGAATTTACAAGAATTCAATGCTTGCTTGAACATGGACATGTACATTTAACATGATTGGAAAAGATATAGCCAGTCTTCATTAGGCATATTTCTTCATATTACTTGCGTTAAATATAAAATTTCAAATTGTATTAAGCCTCATTCCCAACCTACAAATAAGGGTTCAAAGGGCAAGCTTAGGATATATCAAATTATTGGCAACTTTTTAAAAATAATGAAATCCCCCACAATTTTTCTCTTTCAGTTTTCTCTTTCAGTTTTTTTTTTTTTTAATCGCTCTTCTTCTCTTTGTTAATTAATCATTCTTGTGAGTAAAATATTAATATTGCCTTTGGAAAAATGTGAATCCAACATTATTTTAAGTGCGATGATTGTGAACTAAGGCAAATGATTGCAAACCAAACATTTGGCCTACAAGAAATGGAGCAACAAGATTGGGAGAGATCAATCGAAATTGAAAACTATGACTTCAACCCAACATGTGGTTCAGGGAGTAAAAAGGAGCAAAAATGAAGAAATTTGGACTCAAAATGAAGCTTTTCAGCATTCTAACGTCAGAACTGGCGCCAGAGGCTCCATTTTATAGAAAGCTGGCACCAAAGGGGCCAGCAATTGGCTCCAGAGGCACCATTTTATAGAGAATTGGGGCCAGAATCCAGAGAACAACGCAAAACTTCAATACACTGGAGCCAGAGGCGCCAGAAAAGAATTAAGACAGAGTAAAGGATTATTAACTATTTTTTAGCGGTTCTAGAAGGCTTCAATCAATTCAAACGCCCCATAGAGTGATTTAATGCACCTAGATACTTTGGAAAAACTCTTGAATGAAGAGATATGTCTCTTGGATGAAGGGACTTGTCTCTTGATGTGAAGAGGTGTGTCTTTTGGGAAAAAAAAGAGAATTTTGAATTATATTTTAACAGAAGGCTGGCGCCCAAATAAAAAAAGAGGAGCCTAGTGAGTCTTTCGTGAGGAGAGTCTAGAGATGTTGTTAAAGGGGTGTGAGAGAGAGTTGTGGAAGAAGAGAGGATTTTCTTCTAGAGTTGTAAAATGAGAGGGAATGTGAGAGATTTTTTCTTCATTACATTTCTAAGCGAGAATTGAGTGAGATTGTAAAAAGAGAAAGTGTTTTATGGGAACTTCAAGGGATTTGCTTAAGAAGGAGTGTTAGATAAGTTGTATTGTTTATTTTCTTTGTTTTGTAAACTTGTTTATATATATATAGTCTATGTTTTGTTGCATCTTTCTCATGATTTCTCAGTAGAAATTCTGAGTAGTCTTCTTTATCCTTCTCCCTACAATGAGATATTGTTTGGTGAAGAATTAATTTTGTTATGTAAGGTTTTAAATGTGAATAAATTGTGATAATTTGAACTTTGATCTTCATTTACTTTTCATTCTGGTCAATTGAAACGTTAAAATTTATTGAGAAACATAAGATTCGAAAGGGTTATGCTTTCTACAACAAGGTAAAAGTCACATTCAATTTCATGTGCGAGAATGTAGTCCATGGTGTTGAGTGTAAATAAATAGGAAATTATATTTCGATGGGCGTAGAATTGGAGATTTTAGGGTGATAGACTAAAATCCTTAATTTGGTCTAGTTGTTTGGAAATTAAAGTGAGATTGTTAGCCCTCACTTGAGGGAGAAGTGGGAGCTCTGGAGTAGCAGCCAGTATCCTCACATCCTAACCATAAATTTAGGAACTAAATTTTGGATTATTCAATGTTATTTATGCACTCTCAGAAGGTAAAAAATAAGATTGCTCATATTTTACACAATACAATTATATATATATTTTTAAAATGATTATAATTACTTCACAATCCATAAACTCATTGTAAAGGGGAAAGATGTTTTCTTAAATTTGAACTCTTCATTACAAAACTTTGTTGTTTAGTCTTAGTAAGTTTAAAAGTTTAACTTTAAAGTTTATAAAATAGTTTAGTTAACTTACTTCTTTTAACTGCATTTCATTTAGCGTGCATTAAATTTACTTTAGATTTGTTTTGCTTACTTAAGTTTTTGTAGTTTGAATATTGTGTTTGTCATTATAACCATAAGAATTTCCAAATCCCTTTGGGATTGATACTTAGGAATCCATTAGAGCACTTTATTACTTGAGCGATGCGTATACTTGTATTATTAGTAAGGTTTGGCAGTTGAAAGATTTTTAAATATAAAACTATTTACACTAAAGTGATATTTTAGTAATTGAACTGCATATTTACTATTTGTGATGTTGTGTGTGTATTGCAGTATTAAAAGATATTACAACACACCACAAAAACCATGCATCAGATATGTATTTGTGATCTAAAGTATGGTTAAATTTGATAAAGTTTTGGTTGTTATCAATGAGTTAAGAAAACAATACTAGGTTCTCATCTTGATTTATTTATCTTGCACTATAGGTGGAGTTTTGGAGTAATTTTGATACTTGAGTTAATAAGTGGCTAGACTTGGAGAACACTTATAATGTGAAGAAATTTACTAGGAAGAAATTTATTTTGTGTTGACATGATTAACAAATAAAGATATTGGGAATAAGAATAAATAGCAAATATTGGCAAAATTTAAGGCTTATAAGCTCTTGAAAATAAAGTGAGTATCATTTTCCAAATGTTTCAATCCATATTATAAATTTAATTATAAATTATATCTTATTTATAAAAAGAAATTGATGTTTGAGCTTCGTTATTTTAAAGGATGATTTTTTTTTAGGGAATGAGAAATTGATTGGTTATGTAATAAGGATAATATTTTCATTAAAGCTTCTCATTTTTCATATTTTGTAAGATTGACAACTAAAAATGTTATAAATGAAAATAAGATTATATATAAATAATTTAAATATTAAGCCTTAATTTGGGCATTCAAACAAGTTCTTATTCATAGACTTATTCTTACTCAAGTATTTGATAATGTTCTTATGATAGGTCGGTTGTGCTAATTCAAATTATTCATACTCATTTTTATTCTAATCCATATAGTTGAAATAAAAAAAAATTATTCCTTTAATTGTGGGGTTATGGTCTCCAAGATGGTGTTGTTGGTGAGCCAAGTGTTATCTGTAGGTAGCCTATGCTTCCAATAAATTAAATATCAAGCTCAATGGTTGGATTAGTAGGGAATTCATTAGTAATTGTGTAGTTAATTTCTACGAATGAGAGCTTTTTTTAAGTTGAGAAACATATTTTGAGCTAAAAAAAAAGATTTGATAAGTGCAGATTTACTAAATCTATATAATTGAATAATTTAATTTTAATAACAATAGTATATTCATAACCAAATCAAGGTAGTAGAACTTAGATTTTATTTTCCTATGAAATTTAAATACGCCACATTCCCTTGCTAGCAATTTTTTTTAAATTGAGGTGTGTTACAACACTCAAAATGAATGCAAATCAAAATTGTAACTCTCATTAAATTACTTTGTTGAGTTATTATAGTTTTCTTTAGAAGCATATTAATCATTGCTTGAATTAATCTACTTTCTTACAATGTATGGAATTAAAGAATATATGAGATGGGAGTTTGGATATATCAATAGCTCATCTAGGGTTTTGGCAATATAATATTTTATAAGAAGATATTTTGACTGTTCTAAAATAGTATTAGTATATGCAAACTCAGAGCTAAGAAAATAAAAGTTCAAATTTTCTAATTTTTTCTCTTCCAACACATCTTATTACATTTTTTTTAGTTAGTTAACTATCTTTGCTTGTCACGTTTTTTTGGTCATTAGTTTGAGGATAAAAGGAAAGTAAAATTTTTTTATTTATTTCTCAATAATTTTCATACTTTTTTAGAAATATGAAATAAACTAAACATCACTATCAAACATAATGGTTAAATGTTAGCCATGTAAATGTACAATTTTCTAAGAAAATAGTAAATAAGAAGCATCATTAATTTTTTAATAGAGCAAAAATATGGGTTAGCTTAAGGAATCAATCAACTAGCACAAACATGTTATGATACTATTAAGCAATACAAGCAATCCTAGGAAAAATTGATCAAGAGATCCCCCCAAGCCCTATAAGAAACATACAATATGACAAATTGATTAAACTTTTATTTCGTGACACTGACTTATTTATAGATCAAATATGGACACCGATTTTAAAACATCCTATTTAAGTGAAGTAAAGATGATTTTAGTTTTTCTCGAATATACATGCTTCTTCCACATTGTAATTCAAAGATAAAACTTATTTGAAGTGCAGGGGCGGAACCACCCTCTTTTTTCTAGGAGGCGGGCAGGAAGGCAAACTTATTATAAATTTTATTTAATTAACAAAAATAACACTTAATTCAAAAAAATCTTATACTTAATTATTATTGATTCATTAAATAATATTGACTTAAATTTTTGTAAAATATGGGGGTTGAGGCAAACGTTTTATTAAAAGTATTTAATAAACAAAAATAACACTAATTCAAAAAATCTTAAACTTTATTATT